GAACAAGTAAATCCTGGACACTATAAAGCTACATGCTTTTACTGTAATAAGTCTTGGCCAAGAGGTAAACCATGTACCTTAAAAGCTCATCTTGCAAATCATTGCCAAGATGTACCTGAGAATATCCAAAAGTATTGGCGCAATAAATTTATAGATGATAGTTATGCATATTCAAGAAATTTACAATTAAAAGCAATTTTGCCTGTACAAGTTAGTAATGATTATGATAGGATTCTTCTAAAAGCTTGGACTGTCACCAATATTTCATTCAAAGTGATTGAGAATCCATTTATTGGAGATTTATTTAAGGCTCATAATCCTGCTTATGTATTATCATCATGTATGACATTGCTGAATGGTTGCTAGATAAAGAATTTGCATGAGTGCAGAATGCTGTAGATAATGAATTAGATAATGCTAAACATCTAACATTAAGTATGTATAAATTAAAAGCCTGCAAGTATTCGATATTAAGTATGGGCTGCAGAGTTTTAATATTTATTAAAAATTTTTTAATTTTTTTTAATTATAATATAGCTCTCGACAGTTGGACTTCTAAACATAATGAATCTATATATAATTATATTGTAACAACTATGAAAAGAAAAGAATATCTGGTTTCATTAAAAAATTATTCTTTACAATCACATACTGACGAATTTTTATCTTTAGAGATTTTGATATCATTGAAAAAATTAGTTCTAAAAAATTTGTAGCCATCGTTACTAATGCAGCTTCAAACTGTCGACTTGCAAGAAAAAAAATATAAAAAAAATATAAACATATCTTAAACATTTATTGCATCGCCTATGCAATCAATTTAATTGCTATAAATTTAACAAAACTTACTAAAATAAAAGAATTGATTGGTCATTGTGGAAAATTGATAAAATTTTTTCATAAATCGCCTCATAAGTTAGCATTACTACAACAAGGATTAATTAATATGAAGATTCATCGGAAAAGTTATATATATAGATATATATTGATTACTAACTATCCAGATATATAGCGATAGTAATCACCCCTGCTGAGTTTCATCAATTTCGATTATAATCGCTATATAGCCAATTAATATACACATCGATTTATATCGTTTTCGATATTAATCGATATATAG